AAAAAGAAAAGTCACCATGTCCCATGAACCAGGTGCTGCTTTGTAGCTCTCCTTGCACAGGAACCTGTTAGATTGTTGGGTTTGCTTGCTGTCTCTGAGGTCCCCACAGAAACAGAGCTTCCTCGTTGTGCAGCAGTGCTCATTTAAGGAGGAAGATGATGGTTAAACCAGTGCTTTCCCACTGAGGTGGGTGTCAGGACCACGTAAAGCACGTCTGTGTCTGTGCAATAGAAGATGTTTAAGGGTTCAGCCTCTTGTGTGGTGGAGCTGTTGGGGTTTGATTCAAGCCTGACTGACCTGGAGTCCTTTTTTCTCTTCTTCTTTAGTGATGATGGCCAAGGAGAAACCCCCAATAACTGTGGTTGGAGATGTTGGAGGAAGAATTGCCATCATAGTGGTATGAGTGTGACAGGGGCAGTTGGGGGGGGTGGCTTCCTCACAGCATCTTACCTGGAGCTGCTCTATCCCTGAGGGTAGGAGGGATTGCTGGTGTAGGGGTGGGAACATGATTGTTAGACACCGTTTTCTCCAGTTTTGCTGGTGGCTTCGATTATTTCAACTTGCTGTCAAAAACCCTTTGTACTTCAGCACTTTAAGCCCTAAAATCTCCCTGCTCCCTTAATTCTACAAATGTCAGATGTCTGCAAATGCTGAATAAATCCAGGACATGCAGAATAAACTCCTGAAGTGTTAAAAAAAAAAAAACCCAAACAACAAATAAACAATGCTGAGCTTCTCATACTTTCTGTGCCATACTGCAGTGTAAGCAATCAACATGCAGCTCCTACCCCCCATGAAAAAGGGTCCCTACACTAGGGAAATGGCATTCACAGATTAAAGTCGTGCACGTGGCTGCCCTTGCTTCTCACCAGCTGCTGAAGTAGACAGGGATTATATTTTTCATCTGTGTGCATGGCCAGAGCTGCAGTACCTTGCAGATCCACTCCTGCCCTGCAGGCACTGTAAACTTCTGGTTTTGAGGTTCTTTCTGTTTCTCCTCAGGATGACATCATTGATGACGTGGAAAGCTTTGTAGCTGCTGCAGAGATCCTGAAAGAGCGTGGAGCCTACAAGATTTTTGTGATGGCGACTCACGGGCTCCTGTCCGCAGATGCCCCCCGTCTCATAGAGGAATCCTCCATCGACGAGGTGAGTCTGCTTTCTGCAGAGGAGGGGCTGGCTCTGGTGACATCCAAACTCACAGACTGATGTCCTTCCCGTGCCACACAGCTCATCTCCCAAATCACTGGTGTAACAGGTGCTTTCAGTTAGCTGGTTCTTCATTGGAACAAAAAAAGTGTGTGTGATTAATACCTGTTCAGATCACATCTGAACCCTGAGTATGTTTTCTCCCTAAGGCAGGTATTAGTCATCCCTGCCTGGACACTTCCCTTACTGCAGCTGGTGGCTGCCATCTCACTGTGCAGCCCTTCTCCCTGCCCCTCTGCCCCAGCTGCACCGAGAGGACAAGATTTCACACCTCACTCTCAGTAACAAACATGTCAGATCCTGTGAACTGAGCAGACCCATCAGCCTGTGTTGGGGGGGTGGCTGTTGGAGAGCGCTGGTTTTGCTGGTCCCCTCAACAGATTGACTGTCGTGTGGGGGAGACCAGCAGCAGGTGCACACCCCTCCTGGAGCTAATCCAGGGTGGCTTCTCAGAGGTTGAGCGAGCGTTTCAGTGGCACATCTTTTCTTTCTTTCCATCCATAGGTGGTGGTGACCAACACGGTTCCTCACGAGGTGCAGAAGCTGCAGTGCCCCAAGATAAAGACTGTGGATATCAGTTTGATCCTGTCGGAAGCCATCCGGCGGATCCACAACGGCGAGTCCATGGCTTATCTCTTCCGCAACATCACTGTCGATGACTAGACCCGGCGCTGCCCCTGTCCTGGGCTCCACAGGAGAAGGAAATGTGCATGACAAGGCAATACCATAAAATATAGGCATAACACAACTGTTTATTTTTGTAGGAGCGTGAGGGGTTTCAGGGTCTTTGAGCCATGAGATCTAATAGGAAAAAAAAGTCAACCTGACCAGCACTTTACAGTTGAATAGAAGAGGCCACTGGCAATGGGGAGGGTTACACCTTAATTAAGAGAGGTGGTGTTGAATTTTTAAGTTCCTTTAATGATTTTTTTTTTTTTAGTGTGTTCTATCTCTTGCCCTATAGGGGTGGAAAGAAAAGCTAAACAGAAGTAGCTGTCAGCTTATGAGAAGGGAATAGGGACTGTTCATTGCCGTGTGGGCAAGCAGTTGCAGCCTTTGGGGTGGTTTCTGCCTGTGGCTCACCCAGGAGCACAGAAGGGAACGTTCTGCTGGCAGAGCTGAGCAGCACAGCAGCTCCTTGCCAAGTGAGTGGCCTCTCATCTCCTGCACAGCAGAGCAAGGACTTTCATCAGAGCTAAGTTAGCGGAACATCCCAAAAGGACAGCTTAGGGCAACCCGCTCGCAGGGCCACTCCCATCCTTGTGTCAGGGAGCTGGGAACAAGCTCACGTGTCTCCCAGCAGAGCAGGGAACGCCAGTTAACGTGTTGGCCTTTTCATTTCGCCAGCTTTTGGATCATTATTGTTCTCTGGTGACGAGTCACATGAGGGTCTTGGTCCTCACTTGAACACTTGTCTGCACTGCAAAGCCAGGCACAGTTTTTGGAGTTGCCTGGGGCTGATGAGTTTGTGGCAGAGTCTCGTGGGGAAGGGAAGTTGGAACAATATCTGCTTCTACTGCAGCTGTGCTCTCCAAAACACTAACACTGAACCTGCAATAAAAAGCGTAAGATTTTTCAATGCCGGTGCTTCCTGTGAATGCTGTACCCTCCGAGCAGCTGCTGGGTGTGTTCAGTGGGGCTGTTGCTGTATCCAGGCTCACTTGGCAGCTTGCAGCCTTCTCCCACAGAGAGGTAGGACTTGCTGATCACTCCTGTCTTGAGTGATACTGATTTTTGGGTGGAGGGGACACTTGAGGAAGCAGCACAAGGTGCATGTGGAGGGCTTTGTCTCCAGGATGATATAAGGATGAATTCCCAAACTGTGATCTTCCCCCTTGATGAGACAAACACACTCCAGTAAAACCTACACTGCTTTCTAGCCTGCTGATGTGAGGAACAAATAAAAGCTGCTGGAAGCAGTTGCTTCAACAGCCTAAGAACTGATTAGTTTTGCTTATCCTTATTCTACACCTTTCTCTCCTACTCCAGCATCTAAAATATGTATGGGGCCAGGGCTGGCAGTGACTGAGCAGGACAAGCCTTGAACACCAGGCAGACAAAGGTACCTCAGCACGGAGTGGTTGGACCAGCATGGATTAAACCTCCAAGCCACATCCTACGAGGGATGTGCAGGGCTGCATGAGGTCTCAAAGCTGTTGATGGGTTTCCTGCATTTTCAGAGTACCACAAACAAATTCCAGCTGTACTCTCTGGCCACAGTGTGGCTCCTCAGCCTGGTGGGTAACACTGCTGTGCTGCAAGTACTGAAAGGATTAAATGAAGCATGTGAAGTCCTTGTAGGTGTCTGTGTGCCCCCTTGTTCCAAGCTAGTGCCAGACCATGATCTTCAACCTGAAAGCCAGTGTTAAAAATGTGAGAGGTATTGCTCTTCTCTGTATTTGGGTAGAATGGAACCAGGGCACCAGTGAGCAGAGGGTTGTGCTGCTGTCCCTGGGGTCACTGTGGTGAGTGGATGTTTTGGGTCACTCACAGAGTCACCAGCAAAAGCAGGTTTAATATAGAAGTGAAAGCTCAACAAAGTTGTTGGCAGCTCCCAGCACCTCCAGCCATTGCACACCCCGGGGCCTCTGCCAGGGTTGCTCAGCTCTGCCCTGCACATCCCAGGGGGAAGCAGGACCAGGTTTGGGCAGAGTCAGGGCAGCTCCTCAGCTGGTCCAGTGTGTGCTCTCTGCTCAGAAAAGGGCCGTGTTCAGGGTGGTGGGAAAAACAGCAGGAGCTGGGAGCCCTTGAGGGCCAGCCTGGATTGACATCCCACCACAGCCCCTCTGTGGGACACGTGGCACCCGAAACCCTTTGGGCTGAGGAGGAGCCTTTTGAAATCCAACAAAGGCAAGTGCCGGGTCCTGCATCCAGGATCCCCCAGCACCCAGACCTCTGTCCCGAGGGTGCAGCCAGCACGAGGCCCCGCAGCAGCACGGACCCTCTGGGCAACAGGGTGGCTGGGGCTGACGGGTGAGTGCTACAGGGACAGCACTGGGCCCATTCCCTCTGTCTGTCCTAGCCAGGGCCTGTGTGGTGCCCTGGCACCAGACCCAGTTAGCCAGCAAACAGTCCCTGGGAATGCTCATGTAGCTGTCCCGTCTCCTCCTGGCAGGTTCCTGGCACTCAAAGCACAAGGAGTGGGGGGCAGCTTTGGGATGGAGCCCCTCTGAAATGCAGTGGCTGCCCCGGGCAGGCAGGGATGTGAGGTAAAGGACACAGACACCCTCAGCTGACATCCCAACCTGCCCTCACACCTGTGTCCCTCACTTGGTCAGCACCAAGGGCAGACCCAGGCCCCCTCAGCCTGTCCCTGTCCCCAACCCCGAGCTCATGGAGCCAAACTCGAGTACCCCCTGAGAGGCCAAAGGCAAAGGCTGCCCACCCCACAGAGACCCCCCAGCTCCTGCAGCCACAACACCCAGCCCCATGTCGGCCTTGCCACCTGCCCCAGTTCCTATGGGACTGGGCTGCTGTGGGTGCCCCTGGGAGGAATTTCCACGGTGGTGGGTTTGGGGCACTCCCTCTGTGGATTCACTGTTGTCTAATATGAGCTGGAGCTTTTTCACAGGTGGGAACCCACAAGTGACCCATTTCCCCCCTTGCACCAGTGTTCCAGAAACAGCACAATGTGTGTGAGCACATGGATCACCTCTCTCCACAGGGCACAGCTCTCCCTGCAAGGAGCACCTGGGGCACAGGCTGCCCAGTGTGAGCCATCCCCACGGTCATTTTGGGGCTGAAAATGGTAAGGCCGGAGGTGCCTCAGCACGTGGATTCCACCGGCTGCCAGAACCTGGGCATGCCAGCAGTGAGGGACAATGGGGAGGTTCCACAGAGGGCTGGGCTACTGCTGTGTAACAATGGGTGACCCGTGCCAGGGCGGGCCATCGCCTTGAAACGGGGGACACCATAAACAGAGCCACATGCAGCAAGGAACGAGGAGGAGACTGAAGAGGAAGGAGCCTGTCAGCTGCCTACCTTTGCTCTGCTTCCTGCCCCACCTCCTATCACCTGCCATCCCACTGCTCCTGTCTGGAGCAGTAGCACAGAAGGCCCTTGCTCACAGCAGGTCTGTGTTTTCGGACAGGTCAGCAGCCATGGCAGAGCTCACCCTGGGCCAGATGCTGGATTCGGCCATCGGGACGCCCAAGACTGAGCCCATCAACTTTGAGCAGCTGCGCAACCTGCTGCGTGGGATGCTTGTGAACCTGGGCCTGCAGGATCTGTCCATCCAGGCCAGCGGGGAACCCCTGGAGGGGGCCCCGAAAATCCCCCCACCTAGCTCTGTGGCTGCTGACATTGAGGAGTTAAAGCAGAGAACGGAAGCCAACGAAAGAGAAATCGCTGAGGTAGAGGCTCTTCCCAGCCCCCTCCTCTGGGGTCTGCACCACCTCTCTGCTGCTGGGCAGCTGCTGAAGATGTGATGGAGGCCCAGCAGTGTCCTGTGCCAGCCTGTCCTGTGCCCTGCACTGCCCCTAGCTCTGTGCAGACCACAGTGGGGGAAAGGATCTGCTCCCCAGAGACCCTGCCCTGGGGCTCACTCTGCCATCCCCCTCTCCTAGGTCAGGGCTCTTTGCGAGGGGCTCCGTGTGGAGATCGACGAGATGAAGGAGCAGCAGTCCCAAATGGCAGAGAACATGCAGAAGATGCAGGAGACTCTGGACACTGTGAGCTGCCAACAGAGCCCCTGGGAGCTCCCCCTTACTGTGTTGCCCTGCTGCCCCTGCTTTACAGCCCTGGGTGGCTCCCAGTGTGAAGGGCACCAGAAGAGAAGAGTGGGAAGGGTGTCCCTGTAGAGGAACGTGGGAGCTCAGCCCAATCCACCCAGAGCCCCTCCTCCTCCCCAGAGCACTGCCCCAGGGAGGGCAGAAGGGCACCTCTGCCTGCAGGTCAGACCAGTGGTAGAGGTCACTGCCTGCCTCAGCCAGGGATGCTGAGGCACCTGTGAACTAAACAGCCCCCAGAAAAGTAACGTGTGCTGGGAGGGATGGCAGATAAATGTGCAGTATAGGCACAGCCCTGCCCAGAGTCACTCTCCCTTGTGCCTGAAATAATTTGCAGATGGTCCTTTTAAATCCTGCTCCCATGTTCTGACTGCTGTTCCCTCTCCTCGCCCCACTCCAGGTGAACTTCGAGGATATGCTGGAGAACCTCCGCGACCAGCTGGTGGACAGTGTCATGGTACATCCCTGAGCACACCTGGGCCCTGCTCCAGGACAGGATGTGCCTGCATCCCCAGGGGACCCTCCCAGTGTGCCCTGTTCCCCCACATCAGGGCATGGGCAGCAATGCTGGGGGGGGGTCAGTGGTCCTCTGGGTCCCGTGGAGGGCGACAAAGATGATTTGGGGACTGGGGAAAGGCTGAGGGGGCTGGGCCTGTTCAGCCTTGAGAAGGCTGAGAGGGAGCCAAGGCTGGGAGGGCGGTGCTGAGCATACGGGGGGGATCTGTACCTCAGTTTCCCCAGGAAAAAGCTGGGTGGGGAGGCTGGCTTGGGGATGCTGAACGCAGCCCCACGTTGCAGCCATCCCACTCTCTGCTTCCCAGTCTTCTGTGAAGGACGTGATGGACAGGATGGATGGATGCCAGGATGGACAGGCCCCCCCGGACTGGCCGCAGGGCTCTGGCATTCGCTCAAACCCTTGGGAGGACCCCGGGCTGATTGTCATCGGAAACGAAAGTACGTCTGGGCAGGCCTGGGGAGGGGATCCAGCGGCTGTGAGGGGCACAGCGGGGCAGGCAGGGGGCCTGTGGACTGCTGGGTTTTCCCCCAGCTGTGTTCCCCAGGGCTCCCCCAATCCCAGAGAGCTCCCCCTGCTCTCTTCTCCCAGTTACCCTTGCGGACAGGTTCATGGCATCCTCACCAAGGCAGCGGGATACCCAGCCCTCCAGCCCTATGCCCTCAAAGTCCAGGGCTGGGGCACAGAGCAGAGGGAAGGACTTGTCACCTGGGGGCATGAGCAGCCCCCGAGTGTCCTTCATGGAAAGCGACACGGGATGGAACGACATGGGACAGATCCAGGATGAGGAGATCAAGATGGGCATCTCCAAGGGAGCAGCTCTTCCCAGCCCAAAGGCATGGAGCAGAGGGAAGAAGTTGCCACAGGGGGCTGTGAGCAGCCCCCGAGTCTCTTTCATGGAAAGCGACACGGGATGGAACGACATGGGACAGATCCAGGATGAGGAGATCAAGATGGGCATCTCCAAGGGAGCAGCTCTTCCCAGCCCAAAGGCATGGAGCAGAGGGAAGAAGTTGCCACGGGGGGCTGTGAGCAGCCCCCGAGTGTCCTTTGTGGAAAGTGACGTGGGATTGAGTGACGTGGAACAGAGCGGGGATGATGAAGAGATCAAGACAAGCATCTCAAAGGCAGAGGCCCTTCCCAGCCTCCTGGATGCTCCCCGTGGGATGAACAACGTGGAACAGATCAAAGACGAAGAGATCAAGATGAGACTCTCCAAGGCAGAGTCTCTTCCCAGCCCCCTGCGTACTCCCCCTGAGATGAATGACGTGGAGCAGATCAAGGACGAAGAGATTGAGAGGAGCTTCTCTAAGGTAGACTCTTCCCACCCCCTGGGTGCTCCCTCTTGGATGCCCCCTCCCCTGGGGTCTGTACCCCCATTGTGCTGTCCTTAGACCAAGGTCTGGTTCAAACCCAAGCTCACAGAGGCACAGGGAGCTTCACTGAGGGAAGGGGATTGAGTTTTGGGGGCAAGAGCTGGGGCTGAAACACTGCACTGCTTGCTTAGGCTCCTCCCCATGTTCAGACAAAAAGTTTGGATGGTGATGTCACTGCCCTGAGAGTGCATCCAGGATCCCCTGGCATCCACACCCCCATCCAGCCCATGATGTCAGTACGAGGCCACCGAATATCACAGACCCTCTGGATCCCAGCTGAGAGTGTGGCTGGGACTGACAGGTGAGTGCCACGGGGACAGCGATGGCTTTGGGGACAGCACTGGCCATGTTTCCTCCACAGGGCCCATGTGGGGCCCTGGCACCGGCCCCATTTATCTGCTGATCGCACTGTGGGGGTGCTGGTGATGGAGCTGTGCCGTGTCCTCCCAGTGGCAGCAGGTCCCGGACAGCCAAAGAGGCGCAAGGAAGGGGCAGCTTCAGGATGGAGCCCTCCCAGATCGAACCCGGGATGTGAGTACAAAGCTTTCCTGACAAGTGTAGGGGTCATTCCCCCAGGTAGGGCTGTGATGGTGCCAGAGCCAGGCATGATTTACTCTCCTAGCACGGCTCAGGGGGGTCCTGAACACTGACCAAGCAAGGGCACGGGTGTGAGGGCTGGTTGGGATGGCAGGTGTGGTGCCACCTCACCTCCCTGCCTGGCCTGAGGCTTTTGGGCACTTCCCAGGCAGTTGCCTGTTATGAGCTGGAGCTTTGCCCCAGGAAAATAACCCATCTCCCCTATTGCACCCCTTTTATTTAGTAACCAGCTGGTGGGTTGGGCTGTGCTGGGGTGGGCTGAGGGAGAAACCACGCTCAGCACCCCACGATCCCCCCTGCAAACACCGAAACTCCCTGCAGCCACGTGCCTGGCACCAGCTGCTGCCTGCACAGGCAGATCTGCATCCCCTCAGGAGTTCACCTAGCCCTTTCCCCCCCCCCCCCCCCATTTTAGGAAGATCTTAAAGGTGTCCTCTCCTGAGTACTTGCCCAGAGACCAGCCCTTCACCATGCCGTTTCCTGGCCCGTGAGTAGCAGCAGCACCGGTGCCTCGGGGGGTGCGCGGGTGGGACAGGGGCAGGCGGGTGCTGGCAGTGCCCTGCTGTGGCAGGGCTGGCTCGTTTGGCCCCTGTCACCCCCCCGTGTCTCCTGCCCTCCCCAGGCCCTCTCCACCCGGGTCTCCTGTCCTCCCTGTGCTCTCTCCGCCCGGCTCTCCCGCCCGCTCCAGGCGCTCCGACATCACCTCCTTCACTCCGCCGCCGTCCCCCGGCCTCACGGGGCGCCTGCCCCCCATCGTCAAACCGTACCAGGAGCACGGCCAAAGGTAGGGACGTGAGCCCCGGGGGTGTGGGGGGGCCCTGCCCGGCAAGGAGAGCTCATCTCTGGGTGGGGGCGGAGGGGCCCGGGGGTGCCGGGAGGAGGGGAGGGCTGTGGAGGGTCAGCTGGGCTTGCCCCGGCTCAGAAGGTTTTACAGCCCCACCCTGTCCTAGCCCAGGTCTCTGTCTCGATGGCACCGAAGCCACATGTGATGAGTTGTGCCTGGTCTCTGCCTGAGCTCGGGCTTGGCGGGGACTCGGGTGGCTCCTGTGAA